GTGTTAAGAAGCCCTGGAAGCGCGGCCATTTTCTCCTGCCTGTCAGCTCTCTGAATCCTTGAGATGACCACTCACACTCCAGGGGCCGATGGGCACCCGGAGACGGTCTCTTTGCTGGTTGAAGAGCGAACTGGACCTGGCTATTCCCAAAATACAGTACATTGGGTCGGGGGGGGAGCAGGCAGAGGTGAATACCGCTGTCTACCTGATGCATGTCTGTGAGACAGCGCCCGGAAGAGGCATCTTAGAAGATGGCCTCTATCCTCTGGAAAAATAAATAGGGCTTCCCTACCAGCTCAGAGACAGCCTTAAGTATAAAAATATAGGAAAGCCAGCGCTTATTGAATGCCTACTGTGTACCTGCTAGGGGACTGAATGTTTTAAGTACTTTGAGGCTATTATTAAGTTGGTGCATGAGACCATCTGGGATGTTCAAAGATAGAAATAGACCAGCTCGTTGGTAAGTGTCCGTGACACCTCCCCCATGCCCCAGACTCCCCATGGTGCACTAGCAGGGTGACCCCGGCACAGTGAGAGGCCTCTCCCATCCTGTTCAGGGTGCTGGCTGGTGTCCCCGGTGTTAGATGCGTGCTCAGGCTTCGGTGGTCATGAATATTCTGAACATCGCTCCAGTGTGCCGGGCCACCCCATCCTCACCAAAACCTGTCATCGTCTCCATCTCACAGATGGGCGGCCAGGGCTAAATGACTCGTCTGGGGTCACACAGGACTTGCCTGGAATCCAGTAGACTGACTCCAAGCCTGTGCTCTTGTGGGACAAAACAAATCGGTATCGCAGAGATAACACCTCTACACCCGCTCTTCCATCTTTACCCCAAAGCTACAAAAACCCGGATCCTCAGGCCAGCAGGACGCCGCTTCATGAGCGCATTGCCGGCCCAAGCACGCCGCAGCTGTGCGTCTGCTTCCGTGTGCCCGCCAGAGCCTCATTCACCTGGGAGGCCAAGGTCGCGTGGCCACAGACACATGGGGCCTGAGTGGGGAGAAAAGTAGGGACCGAGAGACCTACCCTGCGGAGTCCACCCCAAGTTAGCCTCGCTCCCCTGCAGGTCTACGCCCTCAGTTTTATTTGTCCTAGTAGTATTTGGGGCACACAGAGCTACTGTCATCACCATGGAGAGCTGAATGTCAAGGGACTTGGACTTTTCCCAGGGTCCTCTGCACAATGGGAAGGGTCGAGCCGATGCAGGTGGGAGCTGGGTTCCGTGAGGGATATACGATGCTGAGAAAGTTGCACACGAGCCCCTAAGAGCTCTAAGGTGGGCGCCGCTGAGTCGAGGATGAATTAGGTCCATGCTGGCTAGAGTGATGAGGAACAAGGCTGTCTACAAGGCCTGCTTGGTCCCCACACTGCACCTGCATTGACATTCACTAGATGTGGAATGCCTTTTCCCTTGGGAACTTGCAAGGGTTTGATAGCCATCTTGAGTGAACACTAGGTTAATCCCAGTGGCACGTGTCTTTTCTGCAGGACGCACCATAGCCTTGATTTTTACTGTAGAGACAAGGTCTGGTCGAGTTGCCCAGGCTGGTCTTGAACCCCTGCACTTGGGCAGTCCTCTCTCCTTGGCCTCCCAAAGTGCCAGGATGACAGGTTTGAGCTACCGTGCCCTGCCGAGGGGCCATTTTTAACCCAGCATTTCCCACAGAAGAAACACACTTTCCATTTCCTCTTTCTCTTAACAGATCCTTAACTCCCTCCAGTTCCCTTTCAGGAGGGCTCTTGTTTGTTTTTCCATTAGAGTAAAATCTGGTTCACAAGGCACTCTTACTTCACCTATCCCTGAGCGCTGTTTTTCGAATAAGAAACTCATTCAAGGCTGGGCACGGTGGCTCACGCCTGTAATCTCAGCACTTTGGGAGGCCAGGGCTGAAGGATTGCTTGAGCCCAGGAATGGTAATGTGGCAAGACCCCATCTGTATTTCTTTAAATGTATATATTTAAATATGCGTGTGTGAGTATACATATATACATTTACATAGAGAGAGAGAGACGGAAAGAAAGAGAGAGAGAAACTAATTTTAAAACCGGGAATCAAGGTAGCCAAATTTCATGGCACATTTGTCAGGATCAGGCGCGGCGCTAGGTGCTTTGCGTGGATTCTCTCCTTGAATTCATTCACATTTCCCTTCAGTTAATTCACTCTGAGCCCCTCCCTCTCTGCCTGCCATCCTCCAAGAAGAGACTGGCACATCTTCTCTCCTTGCCGGTCAGAGGGAGGGAGCTGAAAATGACTGCAGGCTGTCTCTCCCCGCCAGGGCTCACCCCTCTCTCCTACTGGAAGCAGAAACCCTCAGCGTGCGTTTCCCCTGAGACCTGGGAGAGCTTGATAGATGCAAGGGAAGTCAATGAGCCCCAAGCACGCTGAGGGTGCCGTTCTCTGTTCGCCCCCTGGGAAGCTGCCACGGGAATTAATATGCACCGCTTTTCCTCTGGCACCCGCTGGGCACCTGACACACAGTATCGCAGGTCCTCCAAGCCACTGAGACCAGATGATCTTCTTGTCCTCATTTCAGAAACAAGGGTTCTGTGGCTCAGAGAAGCTCCCTGGATTACATCGATGTGAAGCCTTTCGGGCTCTGAAGTCCAATGCCTTTCTAAGGGACCTTTCTGCTTCACTCATATAGATGAAAAAACTGACCAAGCGACTGACTTTTTAAAAAAGTAATAGGCTTGATACAATGGCTCACGCCTGTAATCCCAACACTTTGGGAGGCCGAGGCGGGAGGATTGCTTGGGCCCAGGAGTTCAAGACCAACCTGGGCAACATAGCAAGACCTCATCCCTACTAAAAAAAATCAGAAAATAAGCTGGGTGTGGTGGTGTGTACCTATAGTCCCAGCCACTCAGGAAGCTGAGGTGGATGGATCGCCCGAGCCCAGGAGGTTGGGCCTGCAGTGAGCTGTGATCATGCCACTGTACTCCAGCCTGGGTGACAGAGAGAGCGACTCTGACTCAATTTGTCTCCTAACCAGGGGGAATGGTTAGAAGACAAATATGCCCCAAGACTGTCCCCAGGGTACCCGGGCAGTTCCCAGTCTTTACTTCCCAGCATGGCACCAACCTTGGCTTTCTTCCAGAGCAGGCTTGCCGGAGAAACAGGACACCCAGGTAAATCTGAATTTCTGATCAACGGGGACCACTGTCTGAGTGTAAGTATGTCCCCAATACTCCATGGGACATACTTACTCTGGATAAAACATCCAGTGCTCATCTGACATTCAGATCGGAGTGTCCTGCGTTTTTATTCGCTAAATCGGGCAACCCCATCCTCCTGCCCGGCTCGGATCCCCAGGGTCGCTCCGACAGGCGTTGCCATGGCAGCCTGCGCAGGCTTCCCAAGGCCCCTCGGGCTGCCTCCCCTCACCTCTGCGTGTCCCCTCGCCCCCGCGCTCCCGGGCTGCTTTCTGCTTCCTGGATGCCTCCCCAGGCTTCCAGCCTCGGGCCTCTTGTACTTGCCTCCTTCTTCCCCTTCTTCCCCTGGGCTCCTTGTCCTGCTAATTCCTAGGGATCCTTCAGCTCTCCACTGAGTCACTTCTGCCAGGAAGCCCTCCAGGCCTCCTCCCACAGCCCTCCAGCGAAGGGACGGTGAGCCATCTGCACCTTCCAAGGGTGCGCTGACCCCCACCCCCATGCCGGACTGGCGAACGGAGACCATGACACACTTTCCTGGTGTCCTGACAGCTGGCACCTTTTGCTAGCCACAGGTCAGAAACCAGCAAGTGTGTGGTGACTGAATGAATGAATCAACGAATGAATGCAGACTGTCCCACCCGCGAACGGGACTCCTTCCTTCCTTCCACCTTTAGTCACTTTTTCATTGCTGCGTCCCTTCCAGCCCCCACCCCCAAGCAGTGGCGAAAGGCCGGGACTCAGTTCGGCCACAGCACTTGGGGTGAGCAGAGAGCACCCCACGTGGAAGGGCCTCCCGGCTTCTCCGCCCAGCTAGTCGTGCCACATGCGCTGCTCAGTGGGCCCGGGTCTGGCGCTCGCCCTGCCAGAAACTCTTCCCTCCTGGCTAACACCACCTCTGGGCACAACTTTCGGCTCTTGTCCTCCCACGAGCCCCTTCCGTGAACTGGCTTGGATTTCCCTGTCCGCTTTGGGTGCAGGGAGACGCCGGTGGCATCCGGAGAGGGGCTCGGGCAGGTGGCAGGGCTTGCGGAACGCCGGCACGTGAGCTGCCCCACGCCCACCACCCAGAGCTAAGCCCACGCACAGCCTGCCAGCGGGAGAAGGCAGCTCAGAACTTAACCCTTGAGCGGCAGTCAGACGCCAGTGCATGGCCCGTGTTAACTTTGTCCTCATCCCCACCACCCCCACCACACACACACACACACACACACACACACACACTCTCTCTCTCTCTCTCTCTCTCTCTCTCTCTTCCATGCTCTGTTCCCATGCAAAGCCCCGCTTGCTTCCAGCCAGGGCTAGACTCAGAAGATGCCCTCTCAGGGGCCAAGACTGGAATGCGGGAGGGGTGGCGGTTGGGGGGAGACGAAGCCCCCAGGGGGTGCTAAGGGCCAGGAAGAAAGCAGGGCAGGGGCAGGCAGAGGTCTGGGGCGGGAGCCGGAGTGGACTCTGGAAGCCCCCTCTGTGGCTCTCCAATCTGACCTTTAGGGGCACGGAGCCTAGCTGTGCCTCCGCCTCCCGGCCTCCCCGGGTCTGATTATGCCAAGACAGCCAACAGAAGAGGACCCTACCCTGTCATATTTACTCCGAAAATAGAACCCCTCTCCCCCCCACCCCGGAAGGCTAGCAAGCTCTGGGCGTGCAGGGCGCCCGACGCTCCGGCTCCGATCCCCTGGGTTTGAGCTCCTCTGGGAATTCCCAGTCCCGTCCAGGGGTCCAGGATCCTGGAATGACCACCCCCGCAACACACACAGCCCCCAAGCCCCTTCCACCCGGTCTGGCCTCCAACTTCTGCCCGCTGGGCGCTCTGCCCTGCCCTGCCCTGTCCCGCGGAGGGGACTCACCCAGGGAGCGCGGGCTCCGGCGACCGCTCCTGGGCCGGGCCAGGTGAGAGGCGGGGGCGGCGTGCAGGTGAGTCCCGGCCCCGGCAGGTACGGCGCGCGCCGATCCGGAGGCTGAGGCTGTGCTAGAGGGCTGACAGGTTCGAGTCCTTCCCTCCTCCCCTTCCTATGTTAACCACACCCCTGCCTCTCTCCTCCCCACTTCCTTAAAGGGTGGGGTGTGTTGTCTGTGCCCGAGGCTCCAGCCTCTTACCCTCAACTCTGAAACGGACGTCGCTGCCCGTTCGCCGGCAGTCTGGGGCCATCTCTGCTATCCCCAGGGCGCCAGTGGGCTCCCTGCGTGTCCACCCTGGTGGGTGGGGGACGCCCGATTCCCATCAGCCCTTCCCCCTCCGCCCACTCCACCTGCACCCTCTGGGAGGCCACGCTTCTCGGGATAGTTTCTCCTCCAGCGGGAGACTTACGGTCCCCTGCTCTCAGCACCTCTGTCCCGGTCTCTCCACTTGCCCAAGTGGCCCCAGCCCCTTTTCAGGACAAGGCAGAGCGGGTGGATACCACCAGGGTTTCAGCAGGACTGGGCTAGGACCCAGGAGCCTGCGCTGTGGCTGGGCAGGGTCAGAGGGCGGCACAGGAATGGTCAGAGGAGAACCAGGCAGCCTCTTCCTGGGCCCCGTCCCCACACGCGTCCCCACCCCCCCATGCCCAAAGAGGTGGGTCCCCCTCCTTGCTCAGGCCAGCAGCGCAGTGCCATTTGAGGCAGGCCCTGGGGGCACTTAGCAAGACGTCCCCTCCCTATCCCTGGGAAGCTTCCAGACTTTCCCCTGAGTGGGAGGAGGAGACCTGGACTTGGCATAAGCTCAAAAGCTGGGGTGCACTCAGCGTCGCCCGCACCCTCAAAGTCCCTTCCCACGCTTCTTTATTCTGAGTCCTCTGGGGTTGAGTCTGATTCCCAGGGCTGCCCGTTGCACAGTTCAAGGGGATGCCCTTCGCAACCCAGTCCCGAGAAGGGCGCCCCCTGGAGTTGTGCCGCGTCACGCTGCTCAGCCAAAAACGACAGCCAGGCACACAGGACCGATTGACGGCACTCCCTCACCCTCTACCCCTGAACTCAGGGGACCGGCTATCCCTGGAAAAGCCAGCCTTTGGGGAGCGCGTCTGAGCACCCACCACCATGCTTAGGAAGTGCTCAGCTGACATGATTGCATTGCATTCTTCCCATTTGATGAAAAGAAAATGGAGACTTAGAGTCATGAACAAAGCTAGAAGGTGGGTGCTTCTCAAAGCAAAACCGGTGGACTCTCTGTGACTTTTCCCTGGGTGCCACTCCGGGTCTACCGGAGATCAGAGTCTTTGAAGCTGGGATCCACCCGGCAGGGAGGTCACAACCCCTCTTGGGCGCTGGAAGCTTCTTCTACTAAAGCCAATCCCCCCACCCCAGTCCCGTCATCCTGTTTGCCAGCTTGTCATGCTCCTGTCACCGCCTTGTCACCTTCAAGGTCATACTGGTGGCTGCACAGTGGTCAGAAGGTGGCCAAGAGGGAGAGCTTGGCTGGGGCTTGGAGAGACAAGGCAAGTGGGACAGACTGAAGTTGTCAAGGCAGTTGTGGGGATGATGAGGTAACGGGTGACCAACCACACAACAGACATTGTCGGCGGGCATCGGGCAGTGGGAGGCCCTTCCGTATTCTTGCACTCGGGCAGTGAGGAGACCGAGGTCGAGTGGCATGAAGGTCAGACACTGGGGTGAGCTGTTGAGGGTCTGTGGGGGGTGGGGTGGGGGGAGGTAGCTTTGGCAACTTTAGAGCAAAGCCCATCCAGACTGCTTTAAGGAAAGGCACGTTTATGGCTGGGTGCGGTCATCCCAGCACTTTGGGAGGCCGAGGCATGAGGGTTGTCTGAGCTAGGGGGTTCGAGACCAGCCTGGGCAACTCGGTAAGACCTTGTCTCTACAATCAATCACGAAAACGAGCCGGGCCTGGTGGTATGCGTCTGTAGTTCCAGCTCCTTGGAAGGCTGAAGCGGAGGGATCGCCTGAGCCCAGCAGGTTGAGCCTGTGGTGGCCGGGAGTGTGCCACTCGCTCCAGCCTGGGCAACAAAAGTGAGACTCCTAAAAAAAAAAAAAAAAAAAAAAAAAAAAAAAAGAAGCAAAAAAAAGGCACGTTTGTGTGTGCTTCCCCTGTGTGGCCACACGTATGAACTACAGTCTCATCTCGCCAGAACCAATTCTTTCCGAGATTCAGGGTCCAGAGGCTGCTGAATTCTTCAGCACTCTTACGGAAGCTCCAAAAACTACCTCCTAGAATCACAGCATCATATGTCTTTAAACGAAAGAGACGTTGAGAAACTCCCTGAGGCGACCAACTCTGCCTTCAGGTCTTCTTGGGTTCTGTCTAGTGTAGCTCACGAGGGGCTAAGGTGACAGGGTCACATATTTCTTCCTGTTGCCTGCCTTTCAAAAAACCTGTCAGAAACGCCTTCAGGAGGCCTAGAATTCCATAAATTTTCTAAAAGACACTACCCATGGCTCATGGCTGGTCGTGATAATGACCTGTCCTGTGGGAAAAAGACTGAGCACGGGTCCTTTCCAACTGCTGGACTTTCCCTTACCCCAGACTCAGGTCTGCAACCCTGTGCCCTCTGGCTTCCCCAAAAGATTCCCTTCCAGACTTCACCATGACAGCCAACAACTGGAGAGTCACCTTTGACTCCCCTTTTCCCTTGTTACCCCACAGCCATGCTATCCTAAATCCTGGTCCCCCTCTCAGGCATCTTTCCTTTTTATGGGGGGTTGAGTCGGAGTCTCACTCGGTCGCCCAGACTGGAGGGCGGCGGCCGCTCCCGGCCACCGCAGCCTCGACCTGCCGGCTCCAGCGATCCTTCTGCCTCAGCCTTCCGAGCAGCTGGAACTACAGGCGCGCGCTACCACGCCCGGCTGATTTTTGATTTATTGTAGAGACGAGGTCTCAGCAAGTTGCCCGGGCGGGTCTCAAACCCGAGGGCTCAGGCAATCCGCTCGCCTCGGCCTCCCATAGTGCTGGGATGACAGGCTGAGCCCCCGAGCCCGGCTGCCTCTTTCCTATTGATGACCTTCTTTGTAGACAGACTCGTTGTCCCACTCTAGGCCAGGTGTGTGCTCTCTCTCTGTCTCTGTCTGTCTCTCTTCCTCTCTCTCTCTCTCTCCCCGCCCCTCACTGCAACCTTACTCCTGGTCTCAAGCGATCCTCCCTCCTCAGCTTCTCGAGTAACTGGGACTATAGGTACGTGCTTCTACACCTGGCTCATTTTTTTTATAGAGACAGAGTCTTGCTTTGCTGTTTCCCAGGATGGTCTCAAACTCGGAACCTCAAGCAATCCTCCCGCCTTGGCCTCCCAAAGCGCTGGAGTTACAGATGTGAGCCGCTGCATCCGGCCAGGTTCTCTCTGTCTTATGTTTGGACTCTTGTGAAAAGGATCCCACACCCCCATTCTGGAACTAGTTGGAACTTGAGTTCTTGGAAGTGGTCCGAGCTTGTGATTAACTTTTGGGATGGCATATGAAATCAGAGGAATACATAAGATTGTCTAGGGCAGCCAGGTGTGGTGGCTCACGCCTATAATCCCAGCACTTTGGGAGGCCAAGGTGTGTGGACTGCCTGAGCCTATGGGTTAGAGACCAGCCTGAGCAACTTGGGGAGACCTCACCTCTACAGTAAATAAAAAATTAGCTGGGCATGGTAGCGCGTGCCTGTAGTTCTGGCTACTTGGAGGGCTGAGGCAGAAGGATCGCCTGAGCCCAGCAAGTCGAGGCTGTGGTAGCCGGGAGCGGCTGTGGTGGCCTGGGCGATAGAGTGAGACTCTGACTCAGGAAAAAAAAAAAAAGGATAGTCTAGGGCAAGAGTCAGAAGGAGCAGAGGTCTTAAAGTCAGGATCTTACCAGGAACAAATAAATGAAGAGGCAAAATTCAAGCGAGGAGGGCTGACGAGAATGCTGGAAGTGAAGAGACAAAGGCAGCATGTGCTGGTCACTCTTAAAAAGCCACCTGTTGCACGCCTGTAGTTCCAGCTACTCAGAAGGCTGAGGCGGAAGGATCGCCGGAGCCCAGCAGGTCGAGGCTGCGGTGGCCGGGAGCGGCCACTGCACTCCAGTCTGGGTGACAGAGTGAGACTCCAACTCAAAAAAAAAAAAAGCCACCTGTCGAGGGGGGTGGAAATGGGAGTGGTGGTGGCGGCGGGGTCGTCGATTGAAAGAGGGCCATTGTGTCATCGCTTAAGATGGCAGCCAGTGGAGTGGGTTTAAACGCACACGGGAAGGATCCAGTCAAGAGGAAAGAGGCTGTGGTTTGGGCTAGGGAACCCATCTCTCTGCGTCTGTATGTCCTAACCTAGGGAAGTCGAAGAGTAAGAAAGTATCTTGTGCTCTACCATTTCACAGGGTATTGTGGAGCCCAAATTAAGCAATAGGCGCAAAAATGCTGTAAAAATGCTCTGGCTGCTATTTTTAGAAATGGTAGAAATAGGCCAGACGCAGTGGCTCAAGCCTGTAATCCCAGCACTTTGGGAGGCCGAAGCAAATGGATTGCCTGAGCTCACGGGTTCGAGACCAGTCTGGGCAACCTGAGACCTCGTATCTAAAATAAATCAAAAATTAGCCGGGCACTAGCCAGGCTCGGTGACTCAGCCTGTAATCCCGTGTCTTTGGGAGGCTAAGGTGAGTGGATTGCCTGAGCCCACGAGTTCAAAACCCACCTGGGCAACTTGGCAAGACCTCATCTCTACAATAAATCAAAAAATGAGCCGAGCATGGTATCGCGCGCCAGTAGTTCCAGCTACTCGGAAGGCTGAGGCGGAAGGATCGCCGGAGACCAGTAGGTCGAGGCTGCGGTGGCCTGGAGCGGCCACTGCACTCCAGTCTGGGCGACAGAGTGAGACTCCAACTCAAAAAAAAAAAATTAGCCGGGCACTACTGCGCCTGTAGCTCCAGCTACTTGGAAGGCTAAGGCCGAAGGATTGCCGGAACCCAGCAGGTTGACGCTGGGGTGGCCATGAGTGTGCCACTGCACTCCAGCCTGGGCGACAGAGTGAGACTCCAACTCAAAAATAAATAAATAAATAATACAAAAAAATTTGAAAAATCAGCTGGGTGTAGTGGGGTATGCCTGTAGTCCCACCTACTCAGGAGGCTGAGGTAGAAGGATCGTCTCAGCCCAGGAGGTCGAGGCTGTCGTGAGC